ACAGAAAGGCCCGGTGCGGGTCACTCGGTCCTCACGGCGCCCGGTCTGTCCCGGACCGAGCCCTGCTTTAGAGCCGGCGGACACCCGAAGCGGCTCCGCAGGGCCTGGCGGGGCCCGGCTACGGGCCGGGGCCGGTGCAGAGTTCATCCCTGACGCAGCTCTTTCTCCGCTTCCAGCTCAGACGGGGATGGTTTTGGACAAGGACGGTAAGAAAAAACACTCTCGACCGACTTTCTCTGGGCAGCAGATATTCGCTTTAGAGAAAACCTTCGAACAGACGAAATACTTGGCAGGACCAGAACGTGCCCGGCTTGCCTACTCCCTGGGGATGACTGAGAGCCAGGTGAAGGTAGGTCCGTCCCGTGGGCTTCAGCCTCTCCCGCTCCCTGCCGCGGCCGCTTTCTGCCATGTCGATAATTACTAGCTAGGATTTTTTTCTTTTTGTGGCGTCAGTTAGAATTTAAGTTACATTTCAATATTGGATAGATTTTAGGCTAATTTCTACGTATTTTGTGCTTAGAGGTCTCTGTGCTGCAAATGATTTAGAATAAATAGACATATTATATTTAATATAAGCCCTCATCACAATAACGACAAAAGGCCCCCGCAGGTAATTTTTTTTTAAGGGTCACTTTTCCACGAGGATCACGTCCACTGGCACAACTTTACCTTGTGTAACCCGGCAAATTTTTTAGCAAAGCCTGCAGGTGCATCTGAATGTTGGGGTGCACTATAAGCCAAAACGACTTATTTTTCCTGGCTATTGCATTCTGTTTTCAACAAACGACTGTTCTGGGAAGCTGCTGATATAAGTGTAGTGCAGCCCCGCAGAGCCGGGCAGGTATCCCCAACGGGGCGCCCCCTTCCCCGGAGCCGTCCGGGGCTCCGCCTGGTGCAGGCCCTACTCCGAGTGCCCGCAGCCCCGCGTTGTGGATGGGATGGGGTCGGCGGGTGGACGCGGCAGCGGGGCAGACGCCGTGGCTGAACTGTGCCCGGTGCCGGTGCCTAGGTTTGGTTCCAGAACAGACGGACCAAGTGGCGGAAGAGACACGCAGCAGAGATGGCCTCGGCAAAGAAGAAGCACGACTCTGAGACGGAGAAGCTGAAGGAGAGCTCGGACAATGAGGACGATGACGAATACAACAAGCCCCTGGACCCCAACTCAGACGATGAAAAAATCACGAGGCTATTGAAAAAGCACAAATCCACGAACCTGTCCCTTGTCAGCCCCTGCAGCACCAGCTCGGATACGCTGTGAGGGCACAGGGCCGACGGCCGCACCGGGCAGAGCGGCAGGGGTGAGTGTAACTGGGTGTTTGAAGTGATGTGTTGTACAGCCTAAGATGTATGTGAAATGTATATATTTTTTACAGAATAAGTTATGAATTTATTTTCTTTCTCATCGATGTAAATTTCAGAGAAATTTTTTCAACTTTTTGGGTTTTGTGTCCCTGTAAGGTTTCCCCGCTCTTTTCTTTAGCCTTCCTGTTAATTTCCTCCTCCTAACAATCAGGTTTTGTTACGTTTTCTATGGGTCCCAAGTCCAAGCTCAGCTACTTTGTATATAGCAAATTTCAGATTTTGTGATGTATATTTCTAGTGTAAAAACGGCAGTTTTCTTTCACTCCGTCTCCTCAGCGTTTTGGCAGTTTCATTTCTCCTGCCTCTGGATTTTATGCTTAACAATACCAAAAAAGCAAACCAATGCCCAAAAAAAGCACGAGAGGAAAATGGACACTTGATTTTACATTAGAATGTCTCCACATGTGTTGGAAAGACTTTGTATAAATCAATAAATTATTTAACAACCTCCTTTAGTGAATTTCTTCCCGCATTTCTGTGCCAGGGGCCGTGGACACCAGAGCTTCTGCAGGGTGCCCCCCATACTGCTTCGCAAGGGAAGTGGAGCTGCTGCGTCCGGGGTCGGGCGGGCTGAGCCGGGGGAGCCCCGGCCCAGTGGCACGGCCGGGGGCCGTGGTCACTGCCGGGTTGCGGGACTGCCCATGAGCCCCGGAGGGGAGAGAGACCCGCGGCTGGACGTGCAGCCCGAACTGCCCATGCAGCTTCTCGTCGGCTTCGGGCGGGTGACAGGGTCCGCTCCGGAGAGGAGAAATAGGGGCCGGGAGACAGCCCATTGCGCTGCCTGCGTACTGGCCGCTGCAAAAACTCGGGGACGAAGCTGTTAAGATCCGCGGCGGCTCCACCACCCTCCCGTGCTTTCCTGCCGGGCTTCCGGGCTGTGCTTCGGCCCCACACATGCGCCCGCAGCCGTGCCGAACCGGGCTCCGCGCGGTTCTGCGGCCGCCAAAGCGCTCCCAGCTGGCCGAGACTCCGCACTTCCCCCTCAGCACACGCGAGTCCGTGTGGGTGTGAGCCGCCCGCGTTGTTAAGATGCTTTTTTTTGCTGCTTTTATTTTTTTTTAAGGAACGAGAGCGTCTCTTTTCCCTGTGTCTCAGCTATGGCTTCGCAGCCCGAGCAAAGGCAGAGAGTGGCTGCAACCGCGGGCGCTCCCACTGCCCTGCCCAGCAGCCAGCGTCCGGTGTGGGACCCAGCCCCGCGGGCCCCCCGTTCTGCAGCCACCTTCTGCAGCGCTGGGCCGAGCTGGCACGTCCTGGTTCCCCGCGCCCGGGCCTCCCCTGCTCGCCCTGTCTCCGTGCCGAGCCCCGCACGGCGCCGTCACCCAGCGCGGCACGACACGGGCCCGCTGCGGGCAGGGCCCGGACCTCTCCCCGTTGGGCCCCCCTCGGCTCCCGGTGTCCCCGCTCACCGTGACTGACTCCCTTCGCTCCTGCCGGGGCAGCTCCGCGTCCCGGGGAGGGCGGGGGTCCCGCAAGTCCCTACTCACTGCCGCGGTCACAAAGGGAATAAAGCGAGTTTAGGGCCTAATCTTCGCCCGGTTGTGAGCACGCCGAGACCGGATCGGTGTTCGGGCTCCTGAGGGGAAGTGGCTGGATAAAAGGCACCTGCGCTCGAGGCTCGTCATTCTCGCCTGCCTCTTCCTAAAGTTCTTAAAAGAAATGAGCTCCGAGGGGCGTTACGGGAGAAGGGGGCTCCGAGGGACCGCAGGACTGACAGCCCGGAGCCACGGCCCCGGGCGGAGGGGGAGCTGACAGGACCCGTCCCCATCCTGGGCCAGAGCCCACCGCTCCTGCGGCATCGTGTCCGCTGGCATCGGCCCGGCTCGGCTCACCCCGCGCCCCCGGATTCGCCTCCGGGGCTGTTAAAGTGCAAAAGCTGCGTTTCATAAATTTCTGAGCGTTCAATTCGTAGCATTCTCAGCAGCTCACTCCGGCAGGTCACCGGGGCACCCTGTACCCCCGGGGAGGTTCGGGCCCCGGACGACCGCGGCTGGAGGCTACAGCGAGTTCACCTGTACTCGGGGCCTGCTGGAAAAGGCTGGAGAGGTTTCTTCTGAAACTTGGGATAATCACGAAGGAGTTTATAGTGGCACATTTACTGACCTGCTGGGGACTTGTGAACAGCTCGTTAAGCTGCATCACCTTCCTCAGATCAGTGCTCCCATACCAGCTCTTTAGTGCCTTTTACTCAGTTTGTACTGTGTTTTGATTAACACCAGAACTTGCATCCTATCGTAGAAGTTTTCATGTGAAAAATACCCTCGTTGCTTGGCAGATTCAAAGGTATCTCAATGAGAAATATGACAATTTAATAATTTCCCTGTAATCACCAAATTAAAGGGGCAGACACAGCCATGTTCACCATGATTAGTTTTATTGCTTGAGAACCAGAGTACTCATTTCTAAAGGCCTTCAGAGTTATGAGTTGAGTTCGCTTAAATAGAATTACTGTGTGGTTATAATGCAACGTGGCACAGTAACAATACAGAGCTGCAGACAACCTTTGGGCAACAATACTTGCTATAAACTGGGCTGTACTGTTGAGAAAACTCTGCAAGCAGACATAAAATAATTTCCAATGGTAGTGATTTATACCAAAATCAAGCATCAATCTAATGCCATCACGCAGTCCATGAACTCTGTAGTGTTCTAAATTAAATCAATAAAACATACATCTGTGTTTCATCAACAGACTCCCTAATCACCTTTTAATGTTGTATTTAGTGGTGGGAGGAAAATGTCTGTAACAAGACTATATTGTAGGCTGCACTGAGCTACTAACCAGGAAAATTTACAGTTGGGTTGATTTTTTTTTTTTTAATACTGTATAAATACAGTCTGTGTCCAATACAGTTGCTACTTGAAGCAGACTATGATTTTCTTCTCCCTTGTTGTTATTGTTTCAATATAGAATATGGCACCATAAAACAGTAACAAAAGACAGACAAAAACAGTTTACAAAATTCTGGAAAGTTACACCCAAACCTAGCTAAGAACTTCACATTCAATCCTTAATATTACATAGAAAGAAGAGATTATAGGAGTAACAAAGTGAAACTGCTAATTTATGTGCTATATAGAATGCTATATATCTGTATCCAGGATGGCACTGCTATATATTATTTATTATATAAATGTTGGTTGTTGATGTACACTTAACTAAACCTGCTAAGACTCCAATACTTACTGCTGATATGGCACTCTCAAGCATTCATATTGGAAAGTATATTTAGCATAAGTTTTGGTCAGGTTTATAAATTATTTATATATCTGTGTATATATACACATACATACATATATATACACACACATATATATGTATGTATAGAAAGCAGCTGCTGTGTGATTCAAAAACCATGTAACATGGCAGTATAGTAAATAAAATGAGAAAAAAAATTAAAAATGAAAACAAAAATACTAAAACTAAAACACAAACCATAAGCCTTGGTCAAAAAAGAAAATACCATTTAAAACCACCAATATCTCTATCTATACAATCCAATGTACAAAATCCCAAAGTGGTAAAGATATATAATGGGTATGATACCTTTAAAACTTTATAATATGCTGAAATAGCTTTTCCACATTGACAAACACTTATTAAAAGTTGAAAGTTGTGAAATCTAGAATACATAACATCTCTGCTGTCTATTTAGAGTTTTGGCAACAGAACTGTGACATATATATAAAAAATAATTCCACATTTCTACTTGATGTCGCATGAACATACAAGACAGTGAGGTATGTGAGGCGTCTCTTGAACAGAGTCCAGATGCTGAAGCATAGTGTACGATCAGCAGTCTAAAAATGTGGCACTCAGGACTGGATTTATCAATACAGCTGTTAGGATTACAGATTTCAGTGTGCTGCCTTCCCTCCTGGCTACAGTGTGGTTTCACGGAAAATCTTCTCACTTCGTAGGCATCTTTTTCCTGTTGCAGAATTGGCATTTTTTTAAAAAGAAAGATAAACACAGGGGAAATGATGTAGAAAATGTAATAGAAACGTAAAGAAAAAAGATGATATTTACCACCACATCACTGCACGACACAACACTTGTGCACATTTGCAATAGGTTTACCTGCCCCAGCAGCTATTCGAAAGGACAGGAACACAGGCTGCAGCAAGTTAGGGAAAAATAGAAGTTACATGTTTGAAACATATGTGTTTTGTTTTTTTTTTTTCTTTTTATTTACAGTCAGTAGTAAATACAACAAAAAAATTTTTCTATGACTGGAAACAACATGTTGCAACAAGTTTTTGAATTACTCTAATTACAAAATGCACAAGGGAATAACATAATCTCCTCACAGATTTCTGCTCCCACTGAAACCTAAGGGAAAATTATCCACAGATTTCTGTGGGAAGAGGTACCATACACATCTCCCTTTCGTAACAGTGCTGCACCACCTTGGTGATGAAGGAAACAAAAACTGCTGTTTCTGAACTGAATGATCCAGAGCTAGTTGCTCTATTTTAAAACCTTGGATGATTCTAGACCAAATGCCCTAAGTGCATTTTTCCTTAGAAAACAATTCTCTGACCATGGAATTAAATAGGGGTATGCATTTGTGAGTTCAGATTTGCATGTACACATGCACCCACACATACAATTACCCACTATCCCTCTCTGAATTCAAAAGCCTCAGTTTTGTTTTTAGATAGGCTTTCAGAGGTTACCTCCGACTCCTCAATTGGCTTTTTTCAAAGAAAGCAAGTACTTTTTGTATGTTTTATTGCATTTCTAACTTAGGTTTCCATCTGGTATCTTCAACAAAGAAGACCATAGAATTCAGGTACTTTATTACTTTAAACAACTGGTATTTATTTATTTATAAGTCATTATCCTTTTTCTATATTCTTTTTATCACTTGTTGTTTGAACATGGAACTGCCAATATGTTCTTTTACTAATAAGCACCTATGCATCAACCTAGTTGAAGCTATGCTTTGAAAGCATAGTTGATAACCCAATGAAATCACTTGTGTTCTGCTAGAAGAGTTTTAAGTGCACAGATGGCTGCTCCTCTTCGCTTGCATCGTACCCTGCTTTCTTTCTAGCACCTGTCCTGTTCTTTGATTTCATACAAGCAAGCATTCTGATAGACAGACTGGCTGCAGCTGAATTTGACTTTGAAACATTTTCAAGGTATTACTTAAAAATTGGGCAAAGATATAGCTGAATTACAATTACTAGAACCTAGTGCATATGTTCTCCTTCCTAATAATAATAATAATAAAAGATAAAATACTAAAATGTTTAATTTAATTACCTTGTGATCCCCCATGCAGACATTTGGCCCAATGTGGTCATAAATTACTATCTTCTCATCATTTTCTGACTAGTTTAAAAAAAACAGAAAACAACAAAACACTAGTCAGTCCAAGAATTCTTCAGATTACACACACAAAAAGGAACATCGGAAATATTGTGCAAATAGGTGAAACCAGTTTCTGAATGAGGTGATATTAACACATCTTCACTTGTCTTCTCTAGAGGAAGAATGTGTAAAATTTACTTTTATGCCCAGTACTGCTTGCAGTAGTTTGTGCAGTTTGCCTGCACAAAAAACCCCCTGAGATCTCTCTGCCTGCTCCCTGCTGATGGGACCTTGGGAAATATTCGTGGCTAACGCTGCACTAAGTGAAATGAGTGACTTGTAGTTGCATTCCAGGCTTCTGCTTCAAAATGCAGCAAGCACATTTGGCCAGTCCTTTTTTAAGAACAACACAATTTTTATTGAATTACGTGAGATAAATGTTCTCTGAATTAAATGCAATCCATGTTGCCTTATAACAGCATTTGATTTCATCATACAGGGGATTTTAAATGTTCAGAGAGATGAATGATTATTTTCAGGTTATGAGTATAATCTTTAACCATTTCTCTGAGATAAATTTCTTCATCTGAAAAAAAGCATTCAGTGATTTTAAGAAAAGCAGCAAATGACGGATGACATTCCTCTGGTCTCCATTATGAATTGCTTTCATTTTGTTCCATGTTGAACTTTACCCTTATACACTGACTTCTTTAGCATTTTTATCTTAATGAATAATAAAATGTACTCGTCTTTCTGCCGTTTGCAATAAACGTGATTTGGGGGAGCTATTTTAATTCTCTAGCACTGTACTTCAGGAATAAATGCAAGTACATTGCCATACAAAATGATTTCTTATTGTGCTAAACAATTTCTATAAGCTAATTAAATCTGTAATCTGCACACTTTCCAGTCTCTAATGCAATTCTAGATTGCTTTAAACTAGTTGGCGATACTAATTTATTTTGTAGGAAACAGCCAAGACTTTCTCATATGTAATCAGTCAAGTTTGACTGGGCAATAACTTTATATAAACAGTAGCATTTAGGACTATAAAGTTAAAACTGAATTATCTTTAATGCAGTAAGGAAGCTTAAGGTCAGATTTACTTTACAGCACGGTTGTCTGCCAAAAATATAAAAACATAACCTTCTGCATTGTATGCATGAGCACTTTCCAATATTTCAAGATCATAATGCCACCAGCATCGGAAGTGGGGATACATTCATCAAAAGCGACTTGATAATTTACAAAGGCAGCATAAAATTGTGGATTTTCAACTGCATAATCTTTAGACAGATAAACAAATTACAGCAGTGCACAAGCAGAAACAATATACACTTGGCTGAGCATTCATTACTTCATGTGATCAGGCATCAGCGCAGCTCCCGAGCAGTGGGCAACCTTTGGTGGTTTAGGGCTCAGGAAGCATAAAATAACATGATGGTGAGGTAACCGACCATGGCATGATAGATGATGTTGCATGAAAGCTGTTTACAGCCCCATGTCAGTACAATCTGTAATGCCTACTGTGTAGCTGAACACACTGTACAGTGGCAATTTGTGCACCCTATCCTTTCTTTACCTGTGATTTAAATGCAGATTTACTACAGTTTTTGTTTGAAATAAAATAAAGAATTGCCTAAGCAGAAAAAGAAACACTTTAATTGCCTGTAAGAAAAATTAATACAGCAAAATAATTACCTGAATAAGAACATTCAATAGATAATTACAACTGAAAAAATTCTTTAAAAGTTCATATACATTTTTCTTTTAAGGATTTGTTACAGTGTAATCAGTTAATTAAAATTTGCTTTACTTCCTTCAGAGTTCCTTTTAAAGCTTTAAAATACAGGTCTCCGCAGTGGAGTAAATTCTCAGTCAAGGGCAACACTGCTTCTTGCGAAGTGCCACGAAGCGCCACAAACACGTAGGGTCATTTTGCCCTTTCCTCAATCAGTTAGGCATTCTTTTCTAATGACTGTTTTCATTAGGTTCTATGGGCCAGAATGCCGGTTTGGCTTTGGGCTGGATAAACTAACTCCTGTGCTGGGACAGACTCACTCGGTTAAAGCCCAGCCTGGCCTCAGCAGCACCCGTCACTTTGCATACGAGCTTCTGGAGATGTCCCAAACTGCCTGACCCCAATTTGCACATGCAAAGCTCCAGAGACAGAGTTATGTGCACTTTTAAAGGTGAGCTTTGAAGGATCCAGCTGATGGGGTTCCTGTTACACGGAGACTGGAAATTGTAACTGATCTCACAGTTACAAACTTCTTCAGCGCTCTAACTTTGTTTTCCCTTGTTTAATTTTCTCCCATTATATCCAAGTTATAGCCCTCTAGATAATCAGAAAGAATTCCTTTCCCTCTGTACTGTTTACACTCTTCAAGCTTTTGTGTACACATCTATCTCTTTATTCATAGCTTAAAAAAAAAAATCTTCCCTCATTGGCCAGTCTTTTCATGGTTTTAATCCTTTGTTCTTTAGGAATTTCATGGTCACCAAGCACCAAGTTGGTAACATTTTGGGTAAAGTCTCACTTTTTCACATGATATTTTTGTGTAAGAAAAACAAATAACACTTATTTTGACATTACTATTTGACTATAAAGCCTGTATTGCCCTTAGGCTTCACATTTTTTTTACTGAATACTGCACTGTCTAAAATTTTGGGTGAAATTTTATGATGTCATGTAGACACTTTTTACACATTAGAATGTGTGAGGAAGTGCATTGACTTGAAATTCGAGTAGCTGTGGAAAACACATTCCCAGCCTTTCTGTGAGTTATATACTGCAAAGCAAACAGTCTAATCATGAGATAAATAACCCCTATGAGAGAGAAAAAGAAGGTTATAAACTTCAAGAGAGCAAGTTTCAAGGGTGCAATTAATTTAAACTGAAAAAAAAAAAAGCCAAGGAGCTATAGAACATTGATTTACTTAGAAGATTATTTTCTGTAATTCACTCCCACTAAACTGCATTAATTATACTGGAGCACACAGACAGACACATGACTTTTGGCAATTTTGGGTTCAGTAGGTCTGTTAGAGTCATACAGTCTGGCCAGCCAAGACAACCTCACTGCAGCACACCCATTCATACAGCCGCCCACCAGCTGGCTAGCTCAGAACAGGGAGAAGTGGGAGAGATCTCCCATCACATTCCCTGAAAATTCCCTGTCCTGCTGAGGCTGCTCTGGCCAGCCACCAGCCTCAGCAGGACAGGGGTCTAGGTGCCAGCAGCACGCACACAGGGACAGAGGCACTGGGAACTGGAACAGGTAACCAGCTGACCCGGCCCAGTGCTCCCAGGAAAAGATGGAGGGCAGAGTGGAATAAGGAGGAGAGAGCAAACGACAGGAAAGAAAAACGGAAGGCTCCTGAACCATATTTAGATAATTTAACCTTGGATAGAACATCACCATCTAACCCTAACCCTCTCTATAAACACTAAATCCCAAGAGGAATTGTATGTTCTAAAAATGTTGCACAAGCTTCTTGCTAAAGTTCTAATGGAATGTCTAAATTTAGGCACCTAGTTGGTGTACCAAAGTTAGGAGCCTACCTGCTGGAGACTATCCTCATTCAGGGGACAGGAATAGATCTGGCCTATGCAGGATCTGACATATTCTTGGGAGTACCTAGGGAAATCCACCACTCTGGTAACTGAGGTACCTCCAGCTGTTGCTGTACAGGCTTTTCTCTCAATTGTGTGACTCCTCAGCCACTAGTCACTTGTACCTGCTCCTGTCTGTATCCCTGCTGAATCCTTGGTAGGGGCAGTGTTGCTGCTTATGTCACTGTAGGGTGGACTGGGTTGGGGGACTAATGGGGACTTTTTGTAGGGTTTTTATAGAGGCTTTTTAATTTTCTGTTATTCTCTTTAAAGCAAGCAGTCAGTCTCTCAGTGCTGTGCATCCCTGCACAGAAGAGGCACAGGACAGGAGACAGTCAGTCATCACTGGCAGCTCAGATACCAAAACAAGTGCTTGTGAAAGCTCATATTTTAGTCATTGTCAGCAGGTTTATGGGGACAAATCCCCTTCATAGGTGCAAAGCACTGGAGGCACACCCCTCCATTTACTACCATGGTGTGCTGTCTCTAGCTTGGCAAATTCAAGGGCAGAGTCTTCCGGCCATACCTGCCTTCGGTGCAGATAAATGCAGTGTGGAGGCATTGGGGGGCTGCAGGTCCGTACTTACTTTCAGAATGAGCTCCTTGGCTGAATGGGACATCAGGATTCTGTCGCACCAGGCTGGACATCTCGTGTTCATGTACTGCCTTCCCTGGCTAGAGTCCTCACTGTAGGGATAACTGCAAACAAATCCCATCCACAACCATCAATGACTCTTGGCAAAGCAGACTGAAACCTCTGGCTCAAAGGGCCATACCACTTACAAAATGTCACTGTTAAAAAGCAACTCTTCCAGACACTTTTTTTTTCCCCCTCCTCCCTCTTTCCTTGTAATGTGCTCTTTTTCTACGTCTCTTCTCATATCTATGACTCTACTGAATGGCTAAGACGTTAAGACACACACAGTTTCAAAACTCTCACCTCCTACCTTGTGCTTTTGCATGTGAGAGTGTTTAAAGACAGCAAACAGTTTATCTGTGTGGAAGTACAAAAATCAGTTCAACAACAACTTGAAATTAGACAAGAGACTATGGAAAATGTACATGCAGAAGTTGAAAAACGAAACCTAGGAGAAAAAAAGTTCATCATATGTGATTTCTTCACAGGATTCTCTCAAGGAGAGTTATCCATGAATAATTTAACTGAAAACAGAGTTCAGAGTGCTGGGACCACTGCAGCTGTAGACAAACCTCTCCTGTATGGATTCTTTAAGGGTGACAGAAAGGAAGATAGGACATGCAGCAGGCTTTGCCGGAGATTTCTTCAGAACCAAGGAATCAGGAACGTGGTTTAAAGAAAATTATGCTGACTACATAAGATCCCATATCTATGAAGTTGTGTTAAGGAAAAGTATATTATTTTGTAAAGACTTTTTAAATAGAATCAGATTAAATGGCAGTTACACTCTGGGGCCGTCATAAACATGCTATGACATCTCCAGTGCATTCTAACTTAGCTTTAAAGGGCAATAGAAAGTGTTTATTTGAATCTACAGAATATAACTAGAGGTAACATGCCCGTGTGAGCCCATGGGCTGAGATCATCTGAAGGGCAGCCTCTGACTCAACCTCAATAAGCTGAGGCCAGAATTTTTCATGTCTCATCCAGATCCTTTCATCAGTTTACTGTGACAGAACTTTGCATTCGATGATGGCTCACCACACTGTAAAGCCCACTGTTTTCTTAGACCATTTCCAAAATGGCATGTGGGAGTAGCTAAGAAGGGGTTTTGGAGAAATCCAGAGGGTTTGTGACAGGCTCAACTTCTTGAATACTGGGCTTGAATTAAGTGAAGTCTGCCCTTGATAAAACTCTTAAAACCCCCAAACATCTACATATGTATGTGTGAGTGTATTTAAAATGACATTTGCATTTTATTCTGCTCCTCACTGAATTTATAAAGGAAATACAAAGTTTTTTTCTGATATGTATCTTAAAATAAAATTTCTGGTATTGTAAAAAAAGAGTTTGCATGCTTGAAGAGAAACTTATTTACCAGCCTGCTTGGTGTGATACTCTGAAACGGAGACATACAGCTCTCTACCAAATGGGTTTACAAGCTACACTGCCATTAAAAAGATTAGCCATGGCAAACATCCAAGAAAAGTGTACTGAATGTATTGGAACAAACCAGTGATCTCAGTACGTTTTCCACCTCATCAAACCTAACAAGACTCATTTTCAAAACATATTATGAGAATTCAATTTGCTGCTTCACTGACATACAGCTTATTTCTGAGTGTCTGTGAAATATTTTGATGATGTAATACTATATTGGTAGTAGAAGCTCTCTGTCTGCAACTTAAGGGTTGACTTTTTCTCATAACCTCTTAGTCTACTTATTCCAGAACCCCACAAAACTGAAGCTACTTTTTATGGCATAAAGGTATAAGAATCAATCACATTTCATATAATCCTTCCTTTTACAGCATTAACTGTATGGCTTTTGAAATATGATGTTCCATACTTGGAATGATCTGTTACTGCTATGCGTTAGAGCATTAAATCCTAGAGCCTATATTCTATTAAATGGTATTTATCAATTTGCTTTATTTATCTTAATGTTTTCACAGGATGAAAACTTCTGCCTATTTTTCAAGGTCCTTAGCACTGATGACCCAGTCAAAAGTTACTGTAAGTTTACAAGTACCTTTGACAAATCAGATTTCTAATGGCTGGGACAGAGATGAAAAAAAATGTGGCAAAATTGTCCCGACAAAATGGCCTGTAGGTAATAATTTAATATTATAAAGTGAGGCAAACTCTTCTTTTTATAAGAAAGAAGCCTTTGAAGGAAGCAAGAAGCATGGAGTGCTCTGTCTCACTGCACTCCAATGAGTAAAGCTCCCTCCCTTCATCCCCTCTGGCGTGTAGAAGTCCTAATTGCAGTGAAATGCTGACACTAACATAATAAAAAATCCCAACAAGATGCATGCCCCCAAAACTGGGAGACCTATTAGCTCTCCTCGTTCATGCTCTAGAGGGGTCACAAACACTTTGGAATAGGCAAAGTTCTTTTGCAGATGGGCTCAAATAGTGGCCATACCTAAGGATGACTCAAAATTCCCATGATGAATCCTTTTTTTTTGTGACTTTCTGGGTTGTAGGGCTATTTTAGTTTAATATATGCCACTGATCTTAAATAGATTTTAGCAAATAGAAATTGTATTAGAGGTTTCTGGAATATAACTGTCACTGAAGAAGATTTTATGAAACATGATGCTGAAGGTATACTATTCCAGAACAGAATTTTCAAAGTTAGTATACCATACGCCTCAGAAATTGTCTCCATCATCCTGTTCCATAGCTAAGTGAACAGTGGCATGAATGTAGTGGGACTGCTTCCAGAATCATCTGCATGTGAATTCTGAAGCTTTTGCTTGTTTCGTGTGTTTTTAAGGGTCATGTCCCCAAGAATACTCTGGTGTCTTATATAATGTTACATCCGTTGGATGTCTTCTCCCCAGCTGATCAGATTTAAACCCAGTCAAGAGTAGGCATGGAAGGAGGAGCTGACAGATGCACAGGTGTTTTAGGAAGGATGATGGCCCTGATGCAGCCAAAACAGAAGGATGTTGTAGAATCAAAGACTTAGGGAAGACACCCAAAGCCTCAGAAGCGGCCGCTGAGGTAGCAATTGTTTCAGACTCAGCCCCTGGGTGCCCCACACTGGGGGATGAAAACGCAACGCTGTCCTGCCTGCCTGCTCCACACAGCCACTGCCTGAGAGCACCGACCCATGGTGGGACTCAGGAAACTGGAAAATACCACCCCATGGTGGGACTCACTCAGGAAACTGGAAAATACTTCCACTTGCTGCAGCAGGGACCCAGGACACGAGTGCGCTGATACACGCTCCTACTTGACTGTTCACTTTTCATTCTTTCTAAGATGGCTTCATGATTTCTCTTCTCTTTTCCTTCCTCTCAACCCCACTTCTTGACTGCTTCTTCGCCTTTAGGCATAAATAATCTCTTAAAAATTTCTGTAAACTTCAGCTTGGGTGCATGCAAAAAGCAGAACTATTCTTGTAATACCCATCTTCCAAAAGACATTAGGAATAAGACTGTCTATGATCAAGGGCAATAAGTGAGATTTGTTTTGCTGATCTCCAGCCTCTTTTAACACATTCACTCCACGCAAGTAAGGAACTCCCAGTTCTTAATTCAGAACTTACTTAGTAATTCTAGTCAACAGGTTTTCTGATTTGTGAATTGCAGAAATAATTACAGATTTGATAAAAAACCCTGCAGGTCTGATAAAAAGAAAGTCAAGGACTCAATACAAAATAATCAAAAGTTTGAAATTCCAGTACCAATCTCCTGGTGGGGAAGTACTGTGCCATTCTTCTGTGCGTCTATCATTAGTCTTGACTACCAGGACAATGACTGTGGCATAGAAAAAGAGAAAAACAGCTTTCCCTATCCCAATAATTAAACAGGAAAGAATGTCTTATTTTTTCCTTTCATTAGCATTCTGATTCAATCACAATCTACCTTGTGTAATACACAGAAAACAGTGATCTTGAGAATGAATAGGGAGGGAGTGCTCATGTAAAAATGATGACATAACAGATAGAGGCCTCTAGCTACCACTGAAACAGAAATGATAAATAGATATAATGCTAACACATACAGGTGCTAGAGTTAAGGTAAAGATATACACACTTCCATAGTATTCTCTACAGTTACACACTTTTTTATATACACTATATTACATCTATTTAAAAATACAATAGGGAAGTGGGGAATTCCCTGTGGAACAAATTTTATGCCCTGTTTAAAACAGTGGAAAAGTCTTAGGAATTTAGGATTTTGGCAACTCATGTTAGCAGAGTAATTAACAGCAATAAAAGACTGTTATTCTTTGTGTATTTCAGCCAGAATGATACAAAATACATTTTGACTATGCATGTTCCTGGATGATGTACAGACAGGCCAGTTCTGTGAAAAGCTTGCACAATTTATTTCCAGTTGTTTAGGACTTACTCTTTCTGAAGATACAGCTTCTAGCTGCTTTTCCATCCTATTTCACAAACTTCTGTTTCAGTTGCACTTATTTAATCAGGATTACTGTCAGGTGGGTTTTCTGAATAAAACTTACAGCAACATCATTAATATAATGTTTAGTACTGTTGAAATTTAACCAAACACTTTGATGAATTGCTAACTTACTCTGCTAATAAGGAACAGGCCATCCAATGAACTACTGTTGTCACAGTCAATAAGGATGAGAACTACTTGGCAATTGTTTGGAGAAAATAAACCATTAAGAGGGTCAGTAATATCAGAGCACTACTACTGTTGACAGGTATTGTCAGAGATGATTAGACACCTTTACAAAAATGCTTACTTTAGGGTGAAAAGTCGTCTGACATCATAAACCATCCTGTCAGCATTGCCTTAACTGAAAACACAAGCCAACAATGCTGTGTATATAAATGTCTCCTTAACTGGCATTTCCGGTTAGGAAAAACACTCCTAGTGAACTCTTCTTGTATGCAAGCATGAATAAAATCTGTTAGTGAGATGGGTGAACTGTACTTTCCAACAGGAAACAATTCTTTCAATTCCTTCCCTCTGGAGGGCTGTTACCCGCACCTGCCATAGGCTGTGTCCTCCAGCTTGCGCTGCACCCGCATGGGACGTGCTGGGACACCTCGTGCTGTGCTGGGAAAAAC